AGGATGGCCCAGTACAGCTAATAGGGATTGTATCTAGCTCTCCTCTAGGATGAAAGTTTACCTAGCCAGAGCCTTGAAATGCTGACCAGCACCTGCTAGTCCCTTTATCTACTTCCTGAATGTTAATGTATACCTAAAGCCATACTTAAAATTGGCATGAGTCCTTAAAACAGCTTTCCCCCTCCCTCAGACATCTAGGAAGCCCTGTTGCCCCTGCAGCTGCTGTGATTGCACAGTGGGTTGGACTTCCTTGGACAATAACTTTGACCCGAGGAAAAAAAAACCCATACCCTTAGCCACCATATACTATAACATTGTTAGAACATAGTTTTTTAATATAGATCCTTCAGGCAGGTCATTTACCTAAGGTCCACCCTATTCAGACACAGATTCTTCATATTTCATATCACAGAGTTCGTTGACAACCTAGCATTCCTTACATCAGTGTCCACTAAATAATCATACTCAAAAGATCAAACATGCTTAGAATGCTGCCCACTACCTCTCAGAAGTCCTGGCATCAATTATCTTACAAGGCCAGATGTTTAACTGTGGAAATGTCAGAAACATTGTTAGAATAAAAGGAATTCTGTAGAAGATGATAGCCTCATGCCACTAGAGACCTATTAACAGATGACCTGTAGCCTTGGGAATTTTAGAATATATTTCTAAAATAGCAACAAATAGCTTCTTATGCTTGATATCAATATTCTCTGTTTACTCTGTTATTATGATATGTGTGTGTGTGTGTGTGTGTGTGTGTGTGTGTGTGTGTGTTTGCTAGGGGAGAGGTAAGAGAAAGGAAGAGAGAGCACTACCTTGGACCCAACTACATGTTAATGAGAAGAACTGCTGATGAGTGAATAGTCATTGGAAATTGACTTGATGTGAACAGGAAGGCATAGCAGTGTATGACAGAGTAGGTGGTAGTAAAGGATAACTCCACATGACTTTTCAAATCCCAACTTCTACTTTTAGATTGTATATTTTAGCTTGCCAAATCTTCTCTGGAATGAATTAATCATATGAGTAATACTACAACTGAAGTCTTCTTGCATAGGCACAACAGCCCAGTGCCCTCGAAATCTTATCAGGTCATTAACTGGCATCCAAAAGTAAATCCTATTGTTTTTAGTCTGTCAAGTGAGTACTTTCTATCTCTACTATCCTGCTTCCGTTTTGAACCTCGTATCTCTTACCTGGAATATTTAAAATGTAGCCCATGCCCAGTCTTTTCCTCCCTATTCATATTCAGTGCTGTAATCATGCTGAACTATTTAAAACTAAACTTTGACCATGTTATTCTACTAATACACCCTCTGACATTCTCCCATTGTTTATAGGCAAATGTCCAAGTTCTCTAGCTATGAAAGGTCCTCTGTCATTTTAGCATTTCCCAAGCATATGCCCATAATGGAAACGTTTCTACATGTAAAATTTTCAGTATGTTAGGCCCGTAGATCAGAACTTGATATTAAGCACGTAAGTATTTCATAATGTTTGTTGAATGAATGAATGATCAAGTAAGCATATGGATGTCATTGATGCAGCTGAATATTCTAGATATGTTTTGACACATTCTTACTTTGCACCAGGGAGTTCATAGTGCAAAGAACTCCCTCTGACTAGATTGTGCTCACTGTATTCAGTATTCACATAGCTGGGAACAAAAGACAATTCTGCTGAAATTTAAGTTTCCATACAGATGTTCATTCTAGAGAAACTTTAATAATAGAAAAACCTTGAGGCTAAATCTGTTGCTTAAGTTTCTCTTTGTTCATATCTACATCTGGACAGAGATAAATATGCCTTTTTCCCATATAAACATAACTCCCAGGGAGCAAATGTCCACCTCAATTAATTTCAAGTCATAGCTATAGAGAGACTACACGGTGTTCATTACCATGGCTTCCATCTCTCCCTTACTCCCAATACATCTTACAGACAGTAAGATTTATTTTCCCATAACACCAATCTCCCTGCCTCCTCTTACTTTAATATTCTCCCTTTCAGTGAACATGTTAGCATTCTGATAGGAGCATGCTAGTACTTAACCGGAACCTTTAATTTTTAGCCTACATAAGGAATGAACTATAGTGAAATGGGAGAAATCAAGAAAAACTGCTGTAAGAAATTATTGGAGACATAATTGTTAAAAAATTTAAAAATTACCTCATATTACCTTGATCTTCATTAGTTATTCTTAGAGCATTTAGCTATTTATGCACTGCAAGTCTCTGAAAATTATAGATGCGGCATGCCCTTGTTTAACAATAGGAATGATATTAACTCTGGTGCCCCTACACAATTGATTCTTCTTCACTAAAATTTGGGGCTGGTAATAAAAATCCTATGTTCTGGCTATTCTGATTCTCTCTGGATGTTGGCATTTGTTTTGAAACCTATCTTTCTGAATGCATTCAGAACTTCTATATTTATGTAGAACAGGATGTGAGAGAAGTAATAAAGCCAAGATCAATTGCCTAGTAATAGCCATGATTCCATAGACATTAAAGGGTATTTGTAATTTAGGCTCCATAATATGGCCTAATGCCCTATCTTGTGTAGCTATTGATTTTTCAATAGTAGGACAGCCCCAACAAACCTTTCAGAGCTAAATTCTCCCTGCTACCTACAACAAAGAACAAAACAGGTCTCTTTTATAGGAGCCTAGCCCAGATAAATGCCTTCTATTCTGCAAGGACTCTCTACTTTTTAATTCACTTGCCTATCTCCCTTTCTCCATTCCTCCAAAAGTAAAAAATAACTTTAAAAAGAAATGCTGGGGCCAGTGGGTGGTATAGTGGTTAAGGCACTGGACTCTCACATGGCTGAAAACAGTTCAAGTCCTGGACCTGGTGGCTTGAAAATCATGCCAGGCATGTATATATGTGTCCAAAATCCCAGGAGGAGAATGGAGAAGAAAGGATTGTGGAGTAGCCATCTTCCTCGGGAGATGATTTCTCACTTTCTCTCTCAGTGTCTCTCTCTATCTCTCTCCTCTTTGCATGTACCCTTTGGAAAAAATCTTTAAAAAAAGAAATGCTAAGATAAGATCTTTTATTATTTAACAGCTATCAGTAAGAAAGCCCCAAGAAGGAATAGCTCCCTACCATAGACTGTTCTAATTAGAAACTATGTCCTGAAATGATCCATTACCTAAAAACAGACATACAGACCAATGAAACCAAGTAGAGAACCCAGAAATGAATCCATGCAACTTGTCAGTTGTTCTTCCAAGAGCACCTAATGGAGAAAGGATGGTTTCTTCAGTATTACCAATGAGTTTAAGAAAAACTGGATAGCCATATGCAGAAGGAAGAAATTGGGCCCCCATCTAACTTCATATCCAAAAATCAACTCAAGACAGACATCTACACAAATTTAGAGAAAGATTTTTCATAGGTGAAAAATTAATGTTACTTTCTATTCACTATAGACTGGAGGAAATTTGAGAGCATTGCTATACTGCATTTCCTTCGTAAAGGAGGAGGCAATAAAATCAATGATGTGAGAATTGTGAGTAAATATCAAATGATAACTATAATGAGAAGGATGTCTCTCCCAGAACTAGAACAATCTATAACTGCCAACCAATAAGTAAGTAAGTAAATAGTTAAATACATAAAACAGCATGTGGCATAGTGGCAAGTAGCTGGATTTCACATGTCTAACCACAATTCCCTCCTCTGGAAGCTTAAAAAAAAATAGCTAGGCACATATACATCAATGCACAAAATTCCAATAGGATTGGAAATGGAAGAATAGGAATTGCAGCAGGATCACATCCTGTTAATAGATGCTTTCTTCCTCTTTTTCTTTCCATCTTTCTAATTCTCTCATAAGCACATATACCCTTTGAAATGAATAAATAATGTAAAAAAAAAAAGAAAGAAAAAAGAAAAAAATTCCATACCTAAGACCTTTCTGGAATGACCAAGCAATTGCCAGGGCCTTGGAGCATGAAGACAAACTGACTTTACTACAGGTTACATGTTGCCAACAGGCCACCTTTCAGATGCATACACAACTCCTCCATTACTGCTCCCAGGAGTTCTAGAGGCATACCTCTTTTCTGGCATTTCAGGAGTCCAGGTCACCCTGGCATGCTTTGCTCTATTTTCCCATAGCACATAACTCAAGCTTTTTGTTTTCTACTTTAGGTCATTTAGATAAATAAAATCAACTCATATATTTGTAATGTTGGGTTTTCCACAGTTGTTCTGATAAAAAGTAAGCTACCACACAAAAAGTGCAACAGGAAGTGTGGATGGTAACCCATTTGATTAGAAGGTGTGAGAAATTGACACAGTGGTTTCCCATTAGGAACTGACTTCTATGGATGACAGATTATTTTTTCAAATGACTACTAAGTTACTTAGACTTAATGAACAGAACTGGTAAATTTATTTTTGGTTTTGTTTTGTTTTCTTTTTGTATTTGGTTTGGTCTCAGGGGCCACCATTAAAAAAAAAAAAAGTCACTAAGACACAAGAAAGCTTTGAAACTTGTGCTTTCTGGGTAGGTAATTCCCACTAGATCTTACAGAATATTAAACAGAGGTACCCAAGAATTGAATGTTAGATAAAAGTTTTTTGGTTTTGTTTTTTGTTTTTGTTTTTGTTTTGTTTTGTTTTTAATACCATTCATCAAAGACAGTCTCAGGCAAAATCATCTTTTTGTTTGTTTTCCTGAGAGGTACATGGCGGTGAAAACTACAGTACCTACTAGAACAGTTCGGTGCCACTGCCTTGATTCATGCTATTAACCAGATTGCTTCCCCAGTAAATGTCAGCACAGTAAAAAGGATAAGTAATTTTTCAGTGCTATCACAAAAAATAGTTCTGGCCTTATAAGACCATAGCAAAGGGCATCTTAGGCATCAGTTTCCCATACTTGGTCAACCACTGGGTTAAAAGAAAGATTAAATATAATCAGTGCGATGATACTATAATGTAAATTGCAGGCAAATTCTACTCATTGCTTTGGCTCTCTCTTACCTTATTGCATGAATCTCTGACTTAGAAATCGCTGGCCCACTCCTGGGTTTATGTAGTTGTCCTTTGTTCTTAACTCTTCAGAGAACAAATCGTCTCCTTTTGAACTCTCGCCCAGGCTTCTCTCGCAAGCTACTGACAGTGGCGGTGCCTTTCTTCATGTTTGTCATTCTCAGATGCCTGTCAGTCCACTGAATGAGGCAGCAATCTTGGTGTCAAGTAACAGAATCTGATATTGGTCACAAGCAAAAAGAGATTCATTGGAAAGGAACCAGGTAGCTCACAAAACCAACTAGAAGGCTGGCATCACAGGCTCAGGAAGGAGCCAAGGGAAGAAAAGAAAAGCCAAGATCAAGGCCCCGAGAAAGGCATTCATAGCAATGTTGAGAATGGCAGTCCGACTCAGAACACTCACCACCTTCGCACTGCATTCTCACCTCTAAGGCAAATCACCTTTTTCAGACCTTACACCTCTGAGTAATTCTTGCAAGTTTCAGTTTCCTAAAAGGAACAAGTGATTGGCTGTAGTATAGTGGTAGATGCAGGCTCTGTCAGGAGGTAGGCAAAGAACTGTCCCTCTTTCGATTTCTGATTCTCATCTATTTAGATCATTGAGAAACAGTGTTTAATGCTGAGCAGTTAAATTGACACGTCAGTACTGTTTACCCCTTTAGTGAAGGACATTTAAGAACACATTTCTGTCTAATGTATAATAATTTACATATTTAAAAATGCTTAATCTAGGGACCAGACAGTGGAACAGTGGTACAATGCAACACTCTACAAGGCAATCTCACCTGGAAAGGCTGCCAGTTCAAGTCCAGAGACCTTCCCGAGAATGCCAAGCACACGTGAGCCCATAATCCAGAGCTGGCTGAAGGCTCAGGGCAGATTGTGATGTCAGGGCCCTCTCAGGGGTTCTCTCTCTCTCTCTCTCTCTCTCTCTCTGGAGTCATGGGAGACATAGATAAACTTTTTAAAAAATGCTTGATCTCTGAGAAAAGTTCTCCCTAAGGAGAAAGATTTCAAAAACATTGGTTATTCCATCTAGACAAGTTCCATATATCCTGGCAATAGCTACTTCTCCTGTTAGTAGTTCTTTATGATTTTACCACAGTCATATATAACTACCGCCCTCATACCACTTGCCAAATAGTTGGGCGAGCTGAAGGGAAAGAAAAAGATATTGATCAAATTATATAGCTATAGGAAGGAAATATGGATAAATTCTAAAGTATTATTTAGGCAGCTGATCATTGTATTATAGTTGATATTTCTTATTTTACTTTTCATACACTTATCCTTTATGTTCTTCCAGTTCAGCTGGTTCTTCAGTTCATCAGAGACCTTAGTTAAGTGACTCAAATCGTTACTCCTGATGTATCTGAGTACTTGACGTCCTGACAGTTAGGACTAAAGCTGTTTACCATTAATTTTTAACATCAGTAGTACTAGGAGGTGTTCTGTGTTCCACGGAATTCTCTGTGTGCCATTCATTCTTTTTATTACCCTCTATTTGGTAGCGAAAACCCTATTTTCCCTGAAGAGCTGGACTCAATCACCCTAGCCAATACCACAATCCCTGTTTTAGCTTGTTTTTAGTGGTAAGAGAAGCCTTACATGATCAGGCAGAAAACAAGTAATGCAGTAAAATAAAACTGTTATTGGGTTCCCTGAGGAGCGCATTCTTCTTTTGGTACTAAAATCTATAAACCAATAGGGGCAATGTAGCAAGGACGGGAAGCCAAAAGAATGCAAGCGGTTAATTAGATGAGATAATGACAGGAACTATTCTCAAATCCACCTCTTATTTACCTACCCCATAATTTATAGCTACAGGAGGTACCTAACTGGTCTGCAAGAACTCCTAGGGCCTCAGGATTGGTTGCAACTAATGAACCAGCTTTATGAAGATATGCCAGCATTTATGAGGCAAAGTTGTGAGCACATAAACAGCCTCCATCCTTGCCACTATAACCACTTAGTTGAACCCACTGGGAAACCATATGGGTGGCTAGAGAATGGGGCTGACCTACATCCATTATATCCAATAGTGAATTTCTCTTCTAGAGCTGTTTTGTGTTGGTTTGTTCGATCACCATTCATGGGGACATAAACACTCTTACATTTTTTTTTAACACTCTACATTTTTATGCCTACTCTGGGAGATTTATTCATGTATCTTCTGATGAGATGATTAGCCACTGCCAATGCACTCCTGTACCTTCTTACTTCAAGCCTTCTCCTCACTGAGAAAATGAATATGAGATACACAACCAGTTTTCTACTCAGTGATCCTCTCAACTCTTTCCTAATATTTTCCCTGAGCAGAACTGGAAAATTTCAGCCATTCACTTCTGATTATGCCAGACTTTTATGTATAGCCAAGGATAAACCAGACTTGATCTACTTTCATCTAGAATTATTTACAGTGAACTTGCTAGGTGGCCATAGATACAAGTCAAAGGGAGACACACTGCCAGTAAGGATAGGAGAGATACTGGGAATGTGAAGGAACTCACACAATTTACTCATAAAATCAGCACCTGGGGAATCAGCAGTTAGCGTAATGGCTATGTCGCTGGACTCCCACGTAGTCGACTGCGGTTCGTGTCCCGGACCCAGTGGCTTAAAACTCACGCCGGGCGCGTGTGCGTGCGTGCCCAAGATCCCGAGAGGAGAATGGAGGAGAAGGGACTGCGGCGTGACCATCCCCTCTGGGGGGTGATTTCTCGCTTTCTGTCTCTATGTCTCTCTCTGTCTGTCTGGCGAGCGCACGCGCCCTACAGTGAAAATCTCTCCAAAAAAAAAAAAAAAAAATCAGCACCTGCATGATCCCAATTGTGTAAACTCACTTCCAATCAAAATTGACATGCTGTAGGGACTCCCACTGCTATTCCAAGGTAAATCAGATAACACCCAAGTGGTGATAACAAGCCTAGTTATTATAGTTTCCTAGTAACCCATAACAAAGTATCTATTCAAGAGGTTGTCAAATGTCTTCTGTAAATAGTCACATAGTTAATATTTTAGGTTTTATGGGCTTAGAGAGGGTGGCTCAACTCGGCTCTGCTATGGTAGTATAAAGGCACCTATAGACAATAGGTAACTTAATAAGAATGGCTATGTTCTAATGCAACTTTATAGACTCCAGAATTTGAATTGCATATCATGTTAACATGTTATGACACATTATGCTTATTAAAATTATTTTAAAATGTAAAAAATATTTTTTCTGTGCTCATAAGCAAAGATTGGTATGGGGCCACAGTTTGCCCAAACCTGCCCTGGGCTCTAATAAGACCCAATGAGAAGCCAAGAAATACTTTGAAAAGAACAGTTGCTTTCCAAAGAGGTTATAAATTTGTTTCAAAACCCTAAGAGATTTTGCTGTGATTCAACCTTCAAAGGTTTACCACAAGCTACCTACAGCTTCCTACTCTGCTATCAGTATGTTGAGCAATATTAGATATTCAGGTCCATAAGAGCAAAAAGTAGATGAGATGCTTCACTACAGCTGGGACCTGCTGGAGAGTCATTACCAGCTTTGAGCTCCTCTTAAAAGCTGGCAGTCTTTAAGGACTCCCAGTAAATTGGTAGAAAAATCATATCTGACTTTTTTATGCCTAGTGTTCAAAGGTCAAGAGACCTCACAGGTGCTATCCTCTTTTGTAATGTTAACAGACACCATTTTCAACTCCAAAAAGTACCAAAGGAAAAAAAAAAAAAAAGAAGAAGAAAAAGAAAACTCTTCTAATATTTTGGCCATGTCTTACATCCTATTAACTCTATTAATTTTATCAGTAAAATCTGGCATCTGGAAAAGTAAGTGAAATTTATGTAGTACATTTCTGAAGTCTTGAATGCACAGTGATACATATATTTTTATTTTAAAAAGTATCTTGCCAAGTTTCTCTTCCTCTGCTTCAGTCTCCCATCTAGGAGGCCCCTGGCTGTCTTTTAGACAGATTCTTGCTGTGTTGCCCAGGTAAGCCTCAAACTCATGCATCTCCTGCCTCAGCCTCTCCCAGTCATTTGGATAACAGGTGTGAGTCTCTGCACCTGGTCTTTAGGTTGAACTAGGAATTGAACTGGGCCTCCTAGGTGGTCCCAGCCTACAGAGCACAGGGTCTTAGCAGCCTATACCCACGACAGTTGCGCCGGCTTGATAATTTTTTACATATGTACACATCCATGTAAAGGCCATATAGACAAGAAATAAATAACATTTTATCTCCCAGAAGGTGCCACTAATTTAATTTCATCAACAGAAAATGGTTTTGCCTGTACTTGAGTTTCTTTGAAATGGAATCGTATTTGGCATCTTTCACTTGACAATAGACTGTGAGATTGTCTATGTTGCTGATGTAGCAATAACTTACTCTTTTCTTTGCTGAAAACCATTTCATTCTGTGAAGAGAAAATGTTCTAGAAGTTAATGAAATTTGATAAAGAAAAGATATTCTGGTGACAAAAATTTAAATGATTCCAAGAGATGGGGGAAATGACAAAAATTTAGTAGCAGACTTCTCTTTCTAAACACTACATATGGTAAAGAATGTATACAGAACATTTTAAGAAAGAAAGTTTGTACACTAAGAATTCTATGGTCCAAAAAGCAACAAAATGAAAGGCCACAGATATGGAAATGTTTGGTAATTTTACTTTTAAGAATCAACTCACAAATTACTAAGTGAAATTAGGAAGTGAAAGTAAAATTCATAAACTGTTGAATAAAAAATAAGTTAAAAATAAAAATATTATGATTAAAACATAAGAAACAAAAAAGAACGGCAGAACATGAAAATTATTTAACACTTAATTATGAACAGCTGCTGGAAAAATGGCTTAAAAGTATGTGTATATGATGTTAGTATTAATGATCTGGGTCTAAAATCCCAGATTATAACAACAAAATTCTGGATAAGAGTAGAGTAGTTTTAGAGATGAAGAACAAAAGAGGGTGAAAGCAAAAGTTAATTCCTTAACTAACATAACAGAACCAAATGATGCTATTTCAAACTGGATATAGGTAATTAGATTACAGTAAACTTAATTAAAATGTTGTTAAACAAAAGTTAACCAGTAATAGGGTTTAAAATAGGATTTGATGAGCTTTATAAACCGGTACTTATAGGACTACTTTATTTGCCTCAGTCTTTGCGGAGTGTAACTCTTCTGATGAGAGATTGTTGTTTCATCATGGAAATATCCACTCATGTCCTGTTT